AAAAAGTCTGCGTCCGCCCCTGCCTGACAGTGAAGGCTAACCTAGCCTTTGTCCAATGAAACTTGACGTATTTTAATTAATTGAACAAGTTTAGACAAATGCTAAGCACCAATAATGCTAAGTAGAATTGCTCAATTTTTTTAAGTACACATGCTAACGTTAGAAAACCTCTCGTTCCAGCACCAAACCTATTTAAACTGGCATACTAAAGAACTGGATTATGCACATTTTTCGAGGCTGATATTTTAAATGGAAAATTCTGTTTGTACATAGTAAATTTGTACTGAAAAATTATAGATTCTCACATGTGGCTGGGCCCCATTTGAATTGAAGATTGTCAAAAAAATGCCCCACCTATTGTGTCTATTATGTAGGCTGCCTGTATATTTTTTGTCTGTAGACCCATCAGATCTCATTTTAAATATGTTTTGGTATAGTTGTATGTAGTGCTGTCAATAGATTGAATTTTGATTCGAATCCGATGAAATTAATGGGGAATGGATTTAGGGTCTCAATCCGATAATTCGATCGAGATCCGAATCCAACAATCTGTTAACTAAATGGATCAAATATGGATATAGGTCAATTCAATCCGATAACAATCCGATCCGATTTGTTATAAATAATTGAATCGGAAAATATTTTTATTACATATTATTTGTCACTAAAATAAATAAATTTAGAATAAAAAAGTAATCACATTTAAAATATAAAAAAGTTGAAAAATTTATAATTATTAAACTTGTTTAAGAATTGAAAAATTTGAAGAAAAAAAGTTGATTTCAATCAATGTTGCAAAAACAGACTAGGGCATCGACTCGNCGATAACCTGATCAAGATCCGAATCCGATAATCCGTTAACTAAATGGATCAAATATGGATATAGGTCAATCCGACCCGATTTGTTATAAATAATTGAGCTGGTAAAATATTTTTATAGCATATTATTTGTCACTAAAATAAATAAATTTAGAATAAAGAAGTAATCACATTCAAAATATAAAAAAGTTGAAAAATTTACAATTAGTAAACATGTTTAATAATTGGAAAATTTGGAAAAAAAAAATGTTTATTTCAACCAATATTTTAAAAATTGACCCGGGCATCGACCCGAAAAAAAAAGAGGGTCAAGGGTCAAAGAGTTGAATCGGGGTCGAACCGGTTGCCAAATTAAATAAATAACTATACACATAAATGTAAAATATTATAAAAACAATAGATTTTTTAAATTTTAGTTTACTAATTCAAAGTAAATAAATATCTATATTTTTCTTAATTAAATTTATTATTGTAATTTAGTTTACAATTTCAAAAATTAATAATTAATATGTAACAAATAATTTGATTTGTTAATGGAAAT